CGACACCAAGAAGCGCCTTGCTGGTCCCATGAGGTTACCTTCGATCAATATCAGGCCCGCCGCCGCCTGCCGCGACTGCTGGCCCCGCCGCCACGCCTCGACCCGCCACGCCTCGACCCGCCACGCCCCACCACGCCCCGCCACGTTCCGCGCACACTCCAGGGAGAATTCTATTGACGCTCAGATGCCCAAGAAAGCAAAGGGCACGGCACAGCTCAGCGAGCGTTGTGCATCGCGGCGCCGCGAGTCCATTTGCCAACGTCGCGGTGACGGTCTTGAGCAACGCCGAGCACCTCGGCGACGGCCGTGAGCAGCCGTAAACTACTGGGCTGTGACCGGGGACGGGATTTGCAACAGAGTCGGCATAATGAGTTCGACGGCGGAACACCCTCGCCTCCGAAAGCACATCCATATCTGATATGAAGACCTGAACCGTCCTCCGTGCTCTGTTTGCAAAGAAGTACAAATTAACAGAGACAACCTGTTCCATACCGCGTTACACATACGCTTGCATAGGACTGACGGTCGTGACTGCCCCTCTGATGCGCGGAAGCAGAGCTCATAATCGCTTCCCGCTCTGCACAATCAACCTCCGCGCAATCACGTTTTTCAAAACCCACCACTCGAATCGCTGAAAGGCTGAAGGCCGCCGACAGCGAGCGGACACTTATATCCCACCTCCGCCGGGGCTGCTCAGCGAGCAGAGCCTTAGATGTGAAGAGGCTATAAAACCGGACGGGGTGCATGGACCGGACCGCAGGCACTTACTCCCGGTGCTCCCGCGCATCGCTCTCCCCACCCAATCCTCCTGCTACGCTGCCCCGCCGAGGCGTGCTTGCACACTTCCGCCGGGCGCTCTCCACCACCACCCTCGACTTGAGGAGGAGGAGCCGCCCGTCGAGCCAGATCGTTCAACTTTCCGCCAGCGACGTCCTCATCATCACGCGAGGCTGCTGCCATGCTGCTTTCGCTGGAATCGATTCCCTTCCCTCCCTACTCATACTCCCGGCCTATCTCTCTCACTCACTCTCCTTCGCTCGCTCGTTTGCTCGCTCTTCGTCTCGCTCTTGTGAATTATTCTATGTCTCTCATACTCATTCCGTTCTCTCTTCGTGTCGCTCTGACCACTGTGAAAGCACCATATGAAGACATTTCGACGCCATAGTTTCTTTGGTTTATTTTAGTACAAGAATATGACGTCATTTTGTTTTATGTTTATCATTGTCCCGTCACGCCTCTCCGACTTAATATATTTGGGTACAGAAAATTAGCCCAGCGTATATGGTTCTGGCGACGAAAATGTTCAACAGAGTCAGTCTCTTGGTCTCTCCTGCCCCTCGCGCAAGACCGAGGCGCTACGCTGCGCCACGCGGCGCCACGCCCGTGCGTATAGCGCGTAGCGTAGTGGACCCGGAGGCCAGTTGTGGGAATGTTTGTTTTTGCGACAACCCTCTCTCTCCTCCTACCTCCCCTCCTCGCCGCACAGCTGTGCGGGGTACTGTACTCCGCACGCCTGGGGGCATGGAGTGGCGGGGCGTGGCGTGGCGTTGCGGGGCGTAGCGGCGCGCGGCGGGGAGGGGCACGTGGCCTGTGCGGGGCCCGGCCGGGGGTTGCGGGGCTGCCTGCAGCGCTGCAGGAGGTGCGGTTCCCCCCCGTCTCCGAACTCCTCAGGGGCGGGCGGCTTTTCCTCATAACGGGGCCCCTGGCTCGCTGCTCATCTCGGCGCAAGCAGAGCTGCTCGGCGGAGAGCACGGGGCAGCTCGAGAAAGGAGGCGCAAAGTTCTCTCCGGCGCCTCTCCCCCCC